CCTGGCCTTTGCTGTGCTAAGTCCTCTCAGGTCTTGTTAATGTTGTTAGCATCTTCCATAGATAGTAATCCTAAATTACAACCAGTTAGTGCCATTTAGTCACCCAATGGCTCCTTGGACACAGAAGAAGTTGGGAAGCATATTTCTGTAATCCTAGATACTGGGTGACAGGAGGAGCCTCACTCCTGTGTGGAGGAAGTGACACTTGATGCGGAAACGCACGTTCTCCTGAAAGGGGTGGGGAGACTAAGTAATGGTCTTCATTAGGTCAGGTGCTTGCGATGGACATCACAGAGTCAGGGCCTGTGGGAACTGCATTCCACTATTTCACAGTTACTTTTCATGTAAATATTGGTCCAGACAAAACCTGGACTCAAATGTTTCTGGCATCAGAATGCCGCATTACAACACATACAGGTAAATATCCTGGATTCAGCCTTCTGGCTGCTAGTGGCCCAAGTCCCAGTCTTCCAGGGACAAAAACACCCAGGTCCAACATCCGAAGCATTAAACCCTTGCCAGTTGTGTGGGAGGAGGGCAAAGGAGAACAAGACCTACTATGTAGATGAAGAACTGACGGAGAGTAGTAAGGGACACTAATAGGAACATAGGAAGGGGGCCATATCAGGGGCTGGTACCTGGTAAGCCAGAGGAAGTGGGACAAGGACTGACACTCAGCTGAATCTTTAGAAGCTTTAGAATCTTTAGAAGTGGTAGGGCACAAGGGAAAGGGCTATGGTCTCTGAAAACAGAAGTAGATTAGGTGAAACAGAAGGACTAGGGCTAGCTGCAAAGTACTCCTAATGCTGCAGGTCTGGATGCAGCATCCACTTACATTCCTAGGCACTTTTAATGTATAACAGCAACCCAGCACCTGTTATACCAAGGGGCACAGTGAAGGAGTGTTCTAGAAGGGATGTCTAGCACAAATGGGGAGGGCTAACAAGGTAAGGCAAAGGCATGGGAAATATTTGTTTTTGGCAAAGATGTTAGAGTTAAAAAGAAAAAATCCATCAAAGAATGGAGGCCTTCTAAAGCACAGGATAAGGGAAGAGATGCAAATCTGGAGAAACAGAAGGGACTAAAGGCATTAGGAAGTGTCCAACCTGTAGAGCAGAGATCACATGCATCCCAGTGTCATGTCACAAGTCAAAAGGTTGGACACCTTGGAACAGAAAGCCACATCCTTTATTCATAAAGTTATTTATCAAAGTGTGATGATGAAAGCAACTACTTAGGATGCACAGCAATTTGGGGCCTTTTACTGAAATGGTCACAGAACCATGGCTGCTAGATAAAACCAGGTGCTGGTGAAGCCATACTATTTTAAAACACTGAGACTGGGAGTGTAGATCACAGGTAAATGTTTGCCTGGCACGCCTGAGATTGCAGGTTCAAGCCTCATTTGCATTAAAACAAGTAGGCATAGACAGTACTTTTAGGAGGGATTAACCACTGGGCTTCAAGTCTGCACTAAAGACCTGCCTAATTTAGCCAGGTACCTTGGAGAGGGGACTTAGGGCCTTTAGGGTAACAACACCCCCCACAGTACCTGACATGGTGCTGCCCAAGTTGACAGTACTAACAGACTCTTAGTCCCCATGTTTCTTAAAACCTAAAGTTTACCACCCAAGACACAAAGAAAAACAAAACAAAAAGCAAGGAGCATAACTGACAAGTTGGTTTTTTTTTTTTTTTTTTACACTTTTAAATATACCTTTATTTCTCAAACTCAAAGCTTTATTTCATCAAGTTCTAATACATTTGCACTGATAAGAAATCTCATCTGCATCAAGTAAGAAGGTGAGTGACCAGTACCAAGGAAGAAGCCTGTACCTCTAGACACTGCTAAGGATACGTCAAGCCTATGCAAATACAGAAATAAGAACTTCCAATGGAGTCCACTGGGCATTTTTGTTTGCATCCATGTTAATTTGGAAATAGATGCTTCAGGAAAATCAAGTTTTCTCGAATATACAAAAAGGCCAGGTAGCTGGATTCTCTTTTATAAAGACCCCAAATCATGTTAATCAGCTCCTTCCTCTTTAGTGGTCACCTCACCTTCCTACACAAATACACATGAGAATTTGCACCAAATCTCAATAGCCCAGGCAAAACTCCAGAACTCTTTAAGCTTATACTTAAAGTATTTTTTTTTTAAAGTGATAGGTAAACAAGATGAAGGCACTTGAATTCACGGAAAAAAAAAAAAAAAGTAATTTTATTTCCTCGGAGAGCTCCACAAATAATCCTGAGAGATTGCCAGGCCTTTTAAAGAGCCTCTCCTCACCCCTCTGGATTCAATTGGTTAAATTAGACTACATTCCAAAAATCAGCTGTGAAATTGTGAAATCCTGTCTCAGATTAATGATGTAAGTCCAACTTTGAAAATTAGGAAATCTGTTTCTAAAATCCCCTCCAAGGGTTTTCCCCAGTGCAGAGCCCCATTAGACACTCAGGAAGTAATGCCCCAGAGGCATCAGGATGCTTGGATAACTATACCTTACCCAGCCTGTAGACTAAAGCATTTGAGCTAAGTCTAGCAACGTCCTGAAACAGGGCACCAGTACAAGAGAGATCACTAAAGGAAAGATCAAAGTTGGTTCTGAGTTGTGACACGTCCGAAAACTAAAGCAGTACTGGGTAAAATCCTAACCCACCATGAAGGGGCTAGTGCCAGGTCAGTAAGCAGACTGTGGGCTTAGCAAGGTGACTATTACTACATTACCACAAAGCACAGATCCATACACAGCTCACTATGACACAAGTTCCAAGTTAAGTCAAACAGGAGGGGGAAAACACTGGAAAGTCAAAAAAAACAAAAAAACAAAAAAACAAGCAAACAAAAAAATCCCTCAAGAACCAAGACAAGAATTTTTTCCCTACCCTACTTCACTCATCTGCCAGGTCCCAGGTGTAGGCCATGACTCAGTCCATACAGTCACCAGGGATTTGATTTAAAGGCATTAGTAACCAAATTCTCATCTCAGCATTAGAATTACTGACCAAGGAGCAGCATCTTGTTGCCAAGGAGGAGGGTGAGCCTGAAGCTCAAGGCCAAGGACCAGGTGTGTGTCACTCAATGAGGAAGGCACATTCTTCAGCCCAGCTGCTGCTGACTCTGAAGAGCAAACTGGGAGAGCGGACCCAGTTAGAGCCTGTGGTTGCCTATCAGTGCCTTCTGCCAAAGCCAAGTTTCTCATTACCCAGCACACACACATACACACACACACACACACACACACACACACACACACACACACACACACAAAGAGGAGCCATTGGATTCACCACAAGTAAGGGTGTCTAGTACATATGCGAGCAGTACCAAAGGCAGGCTCCAGAAAGAACTTCCTGACATCTGAAATGCAAGGTTCCCTGGCCTCTTTCTCATCTGGCAGAAAGTTCACAGACAATGACAATCCAGGAGTTGTGTCTTTAAAATGGAGCTTTGGTCAATGCAACTTTTTACGATGGTTCTAGAACACACACCAATCCTCAAAGTACAAAACAGCTGTGCAGCAAAGAAACTACCAAGAAACCACACAGCTGGGTGGTTTATGACTTCTGCATGACTCTCTCCATCCTCAAGGGACTATGGCCGGACTGGAAAAAATATAAAGCAGAAAGAATTCCAAAGAGGCCAGATGTTTTTCCAACACCCTTCTGGTCCCCAAACCCTCTCAGTGGAAGCAATCCTGACTTTTGCTTCTACTAGCAAGTGCTTACATTGAGGGAGGCTCCAACCCACTTCAAAAACTCTGATTAAACCAATCTATTTCTGTGCAAATGTGTTCTCATTTCACTACAATGGCAGCATTTTAAGGTCATGGATGACCGATGGTTTTCAAAGTTGGGTTTGCTTTCCATTACCTTCCTTCCTTTCAATAGTGAAACAGTTCGTGTCCCATCACAGAACACAAAGCCAGTGAATTCAAACATAGCTAAGATTCACACGCAACAGAAACTAGTTATACTAAGTGGCTTCTGGTGACCTAGCTTAATACGGAGGCCAGTGAAGATGCACTGCAGTCACCTCCTATAATAAAGCACATTCCAGAAGAAACCTGAAAACACATCACTAGAAAAAGGCCAGCTACTTCATTTGCACTACTACTTTTTGCAAGAAGATAACTAGATTGTTTAAAGCAAATTCAAAGCAATCACTCAGATCTTTGGATTTTTATGGCTACCGGACAAAGTAAAAATTGAGCCTGTGGATTTGATGGAATGGCTTCAGAAATCAAACTTGTTGGCGATACTGAATGCCTTTCCCCTTGATACAAAAGGGATGCGTTCTAAAATATCCCCTGGAAACTTTCAAAGAGTGACATCTCTCATCTGACCCTACTAAGTAAGGCAACAGTTGCCCGATAGCTCCCTGTGCACTGCTTGCTTTGGGCCAGCAATTAACACTGTTTCCTTCTAAAGTGCAGAACATAAACACAGTGCTCAAATCTATACAACAAGAAAGGTCATTCCTCACTCACTCAGCTCTTCCCCACATACAGCAGAGGATAACAAAGTGCCTTGATGACTAGAACATACAAGGCCAGACAACATGGAACCCCTACTTCCCTGCAACTTGGAGAGAGAAAGTGAAATTGAAAAGTGGGTTCACTGGCCACTCTTTTCTCCTGAAATTCCCGAATTCTCCTGCTGTAAAAAATATCTGGGGAATTCAGTCACTGTTTTGGAAGGGATTGGAGAAGAAAGGTCAATGTACTTCAGCAAAATAGCTGTCGTGCTGGGAATGATGTACAAAACTGGGCTACCAATTAAAACATGGGAAGAACCTCATGTCAGATATGACAGTGATTCCAAACACAACACAGTCCTAACTCTCAGGAAGAACAAACAAGAGTCAGTCATCAGAGAGCCAATGAAGGGGAGGGGGGGAGAAACCATGTCATTATCCTTACAGAAAACAAACAAAAATTTTTTTTCATGTTTCCTATTGACAATCACCACCCCACCACCACCACAATTCTACTTTAACATTATGTTCCATATTTTATTTTGTTTTCAAGTTACATTTCAAGAAAAGGTCATTTTTTTTCTCCACAATATCTCATAATTCCTTGATACAGCCTAGCATCTACCATAAACCACTTCCAAGCAGATCTCAAGTCTCCAGCTATTGGCTTTGGTTTATTGATGAATGAAACTCTCAGCTCTGCTGACAGGGACTAGACACACACAACTCAGTCCCATGAATGAAACTTCGGTCACAAAGAGCACCCTCGTGTTTACCAGTTTGGGGGGGCTGACTAAAGTGGACACAGTAAGAGACTATCAGCACAGCTTCCGTGTAACTGCTGAGAATCCTGAATGAGAGCCTGCACAGGACTGTGGGCTTAGCTGAGAAGAGGGCCTTTAATGCTTCTCATACGCCGCCCAATTCTCCCAATCTCAGAGACTGTGCAGAGGTCAAATCCCATGTGCTAATTTCTGGGGAGTGACAAGTTAGTGACTATCCTAGAAAGATGTAGAGAGGTCACACTTCCTATTGCATCTTCCAGAGTGGCACTGTAATATGGGTCCTTTTAGGGTTGGCTCGCCATAGTCTGTGGACCTATTCCGATGGGCTCACAAAGAAAAGCAGATTCAGAGCTGAGTTCCCCTTTAAAAAGCCAAACACCTACGTCTAGGAGGAGGCTCTCCTACCAGAGAGCCCCTGCCCTAAACGGGTTCCCACTGTGGAAACCCTCAGGTCTTAAGGTTAGTTACAGGGCAGCCATGTAGGATAAGGCTGGCTGTAGGTGACTGGAGGGTGGGCAATGTAATAGTTGTTGAAGTTGCCATCGCTGACATAAGGGGCTGGCTGGTAGTAACAGGTGACGTTGGTGGCGCTGGGGATGATGTTTTGTTCTGCCAGCACTCGCAAGGCCAGGAGTGAGATGAGGTTCAGGGTCTGCCTGCGCTCGTGCCCCATGAGGCACACGGTGCTTTCGTTCACTACCCTGCGAAGAATCATGAGGTAGTCGTACTTGCTTCTCTCTTCTTCGGCAAAGTGGTTTTGAAGGTAGGTCTCCAGCTTCCTCTGCTGTTCCAGGATGTCTGGGAAGTCGATGAAAAACCTGGAGCACATGTAACGCTCCAGGGTCTTGATTTCCTCCTGGTCTGCAGGCCTGAAGTCCCGCACCAAAAGGTTGCTGTACTTAAGAAGACCCCCGCCTCGGATTTCTTCAGGGTTCTTGGTGGCGATCAGCCTGTTCTGAAGATGGTCAAAGGCTTCCTCAAAATCCCCATACACACTCTCCCCGATCACCGTGGGATGGAAATGCTCAGAGATGGGATTACTGGAGCAGTCATAGAACAAAAGCAGAGAGTCTAGGATGATCTGGAAGGAGTCCACGCTGAACTCGAACTGCCGCCGGATGGAGTCAACAAACTTGAGCTCAACATTCCTCCCATTCTTGTTGGACAGGGAGATTAGGCTCCAGCGGTCTGCATCTGTGCAAACCTTCACCAGCTTCTGCACATACGCCTCCTTCAGGGTGACCGGGCTGATTTTGAGCTTGTTCACACCCTCCGGCAGAAAGTTCAGAAGGGAACACAGAACCACATCTCTCACCAGCTGAAATTCTGCCTCTGTGGGAAGAGCCACATGAAAGATCAGATCCAGATCTTTGCAACCCAAGCCGTTGTCTTTGACCAAAACATGGCCAGCAGCAGAGCCATTCAGTCGGACATCCTGAACTTTGATGCCTGCCTCCTCCAGCCGGCTGCGGACTGTCTGGACAATGTCCTTAAGGGTTATCTCCAAGGTGGGAAAGTTGCCTCGTCCATGGACGGGTACGACCTCGGTCAGGACCTCATGCAGCCGGCTAACCTGATCCCAGTTGAGCACGCTGATAGACTCACAGTCCCTGGTACTGCTGCCCTCCTCTGCCATCTTGGGGGATGTTCTGGCCAGGGGGAGCTGAAAAGGGGTGAGAGACAGAGTTAGGATTCACAAGGGCATGGCAAGGACTGTGGAAGACCTCAAAGGCATCCACTTATCAAATTTCTGTAAAACAACATTCAACAGTGCCTGCTATTCACCATGGCTATGAACATGAAACACATTAAACACCAAGAAAGACCCACAAATGGATGAGCTTCACTCTACACCAAGGCGGGTACTGGCATTGCTTTGCTTTGTGTGGGTGCTCTTGCTGCTGGTGGTATGCTTGTCCTATGTGTGTGGGGGGGGAGGGGGATGAGTAGGCTGCTTTATGAGAAGAAAAGCTGACAGTATAACCATGTCACCTAAACAACACTAAAGAGCCTATAAAGGTGCAGAGAAATCAAACCTTTGTTCGATATTTGTACACTGTGAAGATACATTGCTGTGATTGGTTTAATAAAGAGCTGAATAGCTAGGCAAGAAATATACTTGGGACTTCCAGGCAGAGAGAGGAAGTATGAGATTAATCTAGGCAGCAGAGCAGCAGGGAATGAGTTGAGCACACAAATGGGATAGAGGTAAAACATATATTAATAAAAATATGAGTTAATTTAAGTTGTAAGAGCTAGTTAAAAACAAACCTAAGCCAAAGGCCAAGCTTTCATTAATTAATTAATAATAAGTCTCTATGTCTTTATTTGGGAGCTGGTTGGTGGGACAGAGAAAGATTTGTTACAACCTGTGTGTTTCACAAATTTTCTCTGGTTTCTATAGAAGTTACTTCTGTTTTTAGCTCCTGAACTATATCTTGAACTGGGAGATACCTAAACCCTAATATCTAGTGCAACACACACACACACACACACACACACACACACACACGTGCGCACATGTGTCCGTGCGCCCACACTCACACAACTGTTCCATTTGCTCTAAGAATAGACTACATCTCAGCTCAGTCAGGAAGACAATCACTTCCTTTTCATATATGTGCCTAATCTACCTTACAACAAACACTACATCATTTGGGACAGAACAGAGTTGTTTGTAGGATGACACCTATGGTCAACCAAAAATCAGGTGAGCTTTGCAGTGAGTGTTTCCTTCAGCAAGGATGCAGAGAGCCTCAGTGCAGGTGAACTTCTGCAGAACAATCTGAAGCTCCTTAAGGGGAATAAAATTAAAACTGAAAAGAGAGCCAGGCGGTGGTGGTGCACACCTTTAATTCCAGCACTTGGGAGGCAGAGGCAGGCAGATCTCTGTGAGTTCAAGGCCAGCCTGATCTATAGAGCAAGTTCCAGGACAGGCTCCAAAGCTATAGAAAAACCCTGTCTCGAAAAACCAAAACCAAACCAAACAAAAACAAAACTGAATACAAGATGGGAAGTCCATGCTGGAACCACAGAATTTCCCAAATAATTAATGCACATGTATGCACGCAGCGTGCTAGGGACTGAACCCTGGGCCATGAGCACACGAACAAAGTGCATGAGCTGCGATTTCACCTAGTAACTGGGAATAATATCTCACTTTCTGGGAATAATATCTCACTTTCAAAGAGATGAAATGATGGAGTACCAGAAATTCCAATAATAAAAGCAAAACGTGATGTCCTCACGTTGCTTGGACATCATCTAGACAGACACAAAAGCTGAAACACAAGATCTTGGTGCAGTCTTCCACCCTGAAATGCTTGGTGCAGACAAAATCCCCCAGCCACAGTTGCACTGTTTGGAAGCTGCTGCTTTGTAATGCACATCAGTGCATCCTCCTTGGGCTCCAACATGGATTTCAAGCCTGCCCTGGTCCAGGGATTTGTGGCTCCAACAGTGACAAGGCACCACTACTCGTGTGGGGACAAGCTTTTATAGTTCCCCATCACAAAGGAGGATCGAATGTGCTCTACACAACTCTGGTGGAAGTGAACAAATACAACATACAGACAGAGAGACTCTCCCTCAACTGGCACCAAAAGGAAAGACACGGAAGCAATCACTTGCAAAGAGGGCCACCAGATAACAAAGCCATGGTGAGTATTGCTGGAACACCAGAGGGGAGGAAAGCAGTGCATGGCTAGAAATGGCAATGGTCTGGGGGTGACAGGAGCCTCTCGAGCCAGCACAGTGGCACACAAGTTCAGCGTCTGTCAATTCGCTCAGCTGGAAATAGCCAGCCTCCCCAGGATCAAAGCAGGCTCTGGTGGTCTCTGGGGTTGAGTGCCCCTCTACTTGCTATAGAAGAGCATTTGTCAAGGGGAAGATGAAACAAGTCTTTAGAAGTCTGCAGCGATTTAGACCATCGGAGCGTGGCCTGCCTCAGTGATGGACAAGCAAGCACTGCCTGCCTGTGATGCACACCTAACATCTATCGTGGCTGGCATTTGCCTCCAAGCCAGATTTGGGACAGCTGGGCTCTCTTTTCTCTGTGCCCACTGTAAACTCAGTGGTTCTTTGGGGTTTTTTTCGTTTGTTTGTTTGTTTGTTTTTGTTTTGTTTTTTGTTTGTTTTTGTTTCTTTTCTTCTCTCGTTTTTATGATTAGTATACAGCAGACTTGTGACTGGACAGTTTCGAATGTTTTCAGGAAGATATTATGGTCTGACCCTTGTTTGGAGACACAGCCAGAAGCTAGACCACCTGCAGTCTGGTGAGGTGAGTTTCAGTCAGGCATGCTGGTTGGGTTGTTTTATGCTGTCTGCCAGCTGTTACTCTTCCCAAGGTGCTCATGTTTGATACCCGTCTGATAAGTCACAATGTGGTCAGCAAATGAGATGCAAGGAACAATTTTAAGAAAATCTCCCAAAAGAACCCTAGTAATGTTACAGCATAGAATATGAATAGGGGTCTTTGATTCAAGCCTTAAAAAGAAAAAAAAAAAGTCAAAAAAAAGAAAACTGATATAGGGCTAAAATCTAGAATATGACAGAAGGGTCATCTAATCTAGGGACCACAGAGAATCTAGGAGTCATAACTCCTTTGGGGTAAAGAAGACCTTCACACAGTTTTAAATGGCAGCAGATTCAAAGCTGACACCCACGTTAGACTGAGTATCTGTAAGGGGAAAGGGCCCTGAGGACAGGAACTGTATTAACAGCACAAAAGGACAAACTGTTGGGACAGAATTTTCTAAGTATGTATATCAAATACATATGATGATTGATTATAAAGAAGGAAGCATTTCAAAACAGTAAGTGAAATTACACATTCAGCCTCCTGCCTAGAATTCTAGCACTTAAGAGGCTGAGGTAGGGGGATTTAAAGTTTCAGACTAGCCTGGGCTATATAGAGAGATCCTGACTCAACAAACAAAAAATAGCCCAACCCATAAATAAAAAGAAATGGTGCTGAGAAAACAAACGGATATTTGGATACTTAATTTGTATATATTTTTTAAAAAACTGGATCCATATCTCCTGCAAGTCCAATCTAGTTGGTTAGAACAGGAATTGATAGCTAAAATCTAGTCCAGTGGTTCTCAACCTTCCTAAGGCTGCAACCCTTTAATGCAGTTCTTCATGTTGTGGTGACCCCCCAGCCATAAAATTATTTTGGTTGTTACTTCATAACTGTAATTTTGCTAGTTATGAATCGTGATGTAAATGTGTTTTCCAATGGGTGATCCCTGTGAAAGGGTCATTCCACCCCCAAAGGGGTCATGACAGAAAAGAACTCTAGGAGTGACTAAAGAAAGCCCAGAATTTCCATACAAGTTTACATGGTAGGTAAGACTAAGCCTTCTTGAACCACAGAAAACCAGTCAGAAAACAAGACGGGTTTGGCTACATAAAAATTAAAATGTTTCCATGATACAAAATATTCAGAAGGCATACAAAAGAAAACATTCGTAACTTTAGGCAAAGTATTTATTTCCTTAGTAAGTAAGAAGTCATAAATGCAGGACCCTAAAAGAGAAGGGGGAAGGAATATAAACAGTGGCTTGGACACAAAATACTCAACCTCACTCAGAGGGTGGGCAACCTAAAACCCCATGCCCCAGCAGCAGAGCTCCGCTCATGTGTGGGACAGCAGACACTACTGGTGCATGGCCCCTGGGCTCTTTGAAGACCGAGGTGAGACTCTCAACTTTTTAAGTTCCATTACCCTTTGATGTGGTCATTCTATATCTACTCCATCTCCTCCAAACTCCAGTTAAGTTGCAGGTATACATTGGTTCTACAAGAATAAATGTAATTTACAGCTGTGGGTGCTTAGATAACACATCAGACCTTAGTTCAACAGTTTCCGTTTTAATGAACTGCTTTTAAATCAACACTTATGTAACCTCCATTTAAAAGAATCACATGAAACAAACATGCTCAGCTCATGAAAGGCCCTGGTTAAAGGCAAATTCTAGTTAGCAGAATTAACACAATAGTGGCTCGCAAACAAATTAACTTGAAATCCAGTAAATTCAAAGCAATGTTTGAGAAGCAGATTCATTGTAGTTATACAAAGGGGAAGTCAGCAAAGGTGGGCACAGAAGTGGTCAATGGTCTGAAAATCCAGGTACTTCTATAAGCCCGGATGGCCAAATGCCTACTCAGCTCACAATGTTTGCTTTTAAATACATTTATGTGTTTGAGTGTCTTGCCTGCATGTAGTCTGTATGCCACCATGTAGCCAGTGTCCAGCGAGGCTAGAAAAAGGCTTGAATCCCCTAGAACTGGAGTCACAGATGGTTATGAGTTGCCACATGAGTGTCGGGACTCAAACCCAGGTTCTCTGGAAGAAAATCCAATGCTCTTAACTGCTGAGCCATTCCTCCAATATTTAATCTTTTTGATGGTTTGATTACTGGTAAACAATTATTTCTCCTAGGGACCCCTGGATTCCTAGACTGCAGCAGCAAAGAAGACACACATGGAGAGAAAATTGTTTGCAGAGATGGCAGCAGACATGGAGGAGATACAGCCTATGCCAAAGGCTTAGACTAAGCTCCCGGAGATCAGGGTAGATGCTCCAGCTGCTGTAATGTGCCCAGAGCAGAGCTATCCAGGGGAATGAGCTGCAGCAGGGAAAAGAAATGTATCTGTCTA